AGTGCTGAATTGCTAGCCTAGGATTAGGGTGCTTAAACTCAAAACAAATTATTGTCAAAGCAAAACTCTTTATGCCTGGGATCATGTTTTTTTTTTACTGTAATTGGGTTCTTTGTTTGAAGGAAATAAAGACTTTTCATCAAGAAGTTGTAGACCTCTTCAGCAAAGATGGAAATGGAATTTCATGTTTTTTTTTTTTTTTTTTTTTTTTTTACACTAGATATTTTAAAGTTTGATTATTTCTTTTTAGATTTTATTATTATTTGATATTATTTTTATTTAAATTAGTGTTTTCCTTATTAGTTATAATCCACATAATCATCCAATTAAGTCATTTAATTTTAAAAGCCTCCAAATCGCTCTTAATCAAGACCTTGGTTCTTATAAGATCTAAAGGCTATAAAGGAGTGTAAAAATATTTGTCAAAATCTTTGTGTCTTGATCTTATCTCTCACACACACACACATATAAGCGCTTAAGCGCTAACCGATTAGTGTCCAGATCGGGAGACGCTCATTTTGTGACACACATTTTGGACTCACACTTTATAAGGCTCACTTCTTAACTTTTTTTAATGATCCAAATCATCTATCTTTTAGGTCTTCCCTCAAAGATCATATTTACCAAAAATCATCCAAATCCGAAATCATGACTATGAAATTAAATGATAGTCATTTTAGTGTTGTTTGCTAATTGTATTTGTCTAGTTTCTTCACTACACATGAATATCTTAATGGTTTTGGGTTCGTTTAATTTTTTGTAAGAATAGTCTATGAATGTTGAATTGAAATATAAATGATTCAGATCATTGAAAAAAGTTACGGACGAGAACCACAAGAAAATGTTTCAAAATGTATATCAAAATCTATGCCCCTCAATCACAAACATCATAATGGCTTGGGAAAAAAAAAAGAATTGAGAAAGGAAAATAAGGAGCCATCCATAACCACAAATATCATAATGGCTTGGGAAAGTTTTATAGAACTTTAGAGAGAAAATTTGCTCTGCATGAGAAAATTAAGCCTAAATTTTTTTATAATATTGATATTCCTATTTGCACAGACAAGTTTTATTTTCTCACTCCACATATTAGTGAAGATGTTCATGATAAATGATATATAGGGAGTCAGTATAGTAGCACTCACTAGACCTGTAAACGGGTTGGAGTTATTGGATTTGGATTAGGTTAACCTGACTTGTTAATTTAACGGGTCAGCCCAACCCAGCCCATTAAGCCAATGGGTCATCCAAACTCAACCCTGTTAATCTAATAAGTCACTAGTTTCACCTGTTAACTTCCCGTTAACAACTTTTTTTTTGTTTTTTGTTTTTTCAAATTTTGCATTTCCAATACAAGTTATCCATATTTAATCAAAATTTCACATATTAACTAATATTCTAACATCATCATCATCATCATATATATATATATATATATAGATATATATATATTATATCAAATTACAATCTTCCATATCAACTAATTAATAAAGCTCCATAACAAGGGTTTTGCAAAATGTGATCGAGTAGCATAACTATACATTGTGGGGCACGTGTATTCAACATCATCAAGAATGTACCACCCAATTACATCGCCACTTCAAGGAAGAATTTGCCTATCGAATACCCAAAAATCTGCAAAACACAAGCATAACACACGCACAAAACACAGTTATTTTAGAATCACAAAACAAGATTTGACTTCCTAAACTAAATTAGAATCACAAAACACAATTATGTCATTCACGCCAAGCTTGATAAGAGTTGGCTTCCTAGACTAAATTGGAACTCTCCAATTTTTCCTTGACAAGTCAAAACCAAGGTGCTAATTAACAAGGTGGGAAAACATGATGTAGTAAATTAAAACTTAAATACTACACAAAATATTTTGTTCAAAAAAAAAAATTACTACACAAAGGATGCATGCAGTGTTAATTTGTTTCTATTAAAAATAAATGGATAAAATGAAATTTTGATTAGTTTTGATACCAAATGAACAATAAAAGTAAGCATTAATCTTGCACAATCCTATTAAGATATATGTGGGACTCCCAGAATCAATCTGAGAACCAGATGGCTAGCAGAATCCCGTGATTAAACATCACTTAAACTATATTGTCCATCCTAATTATTAAACATCACATAAAATATCTTTAAAAGAACAAGTGAAAATACATGTCATGCTTAATCAAGACATATACTATTGAAGCATTGTCCCGAATTTTCGTTAAGGCTCATGTCAAAAATTTCTTCAGTAAGTTCTTCCAAGTCAACATCCTCTTTCTCTAAAGATAAACATAAAAGGTAAAAAGGAAAATAATTACAATCTATTATATAGGAAAAAAATACAAAGTAATATAACATTTACCTCCTTTGCCAAAAAGCCAATCTCTAGTACATAGCAAAGGCTTGAATGGTTTTTGGTCAAAGAACTACGATATTGATTAAACACCCTACCATTAATATTAAATGTTGATTCCGAGTCAACAGTTGAGATGAGAATTATTAACACATCAGAAGCCATACGAGAAAGTACAAGATAACTAAATTGCTCAAGTTTCCACCATAAAAGAATATTTAACTCTTGCTTCCTACCGAGTCTCTTTTCTTCAATATATAGACGTAATTCAGTTTTTTCAATTGAAGTTGACCCATCTTGGTAAGTATTAACAAATTTCTACATGTAAAAACAAAATAAAAACAAGGACCTCAACTTACAATATAAAGATGCATATAAAAAGTATAAAAACACAATAAGAAATATAAATACTACCTCAAAAAGTTTGTCTCCAACTTTTATTTGAGTAGGATTTGGATTGATTGATTGATTGGATTGATTGGATTGATTGGGTCTTAAGACAAGTTTAGGTCTATTTGCTATATGTTGGCGAGATAGAATTTTGCATGTTCTTCCTTTCGTCATTATCGTTATGCATATTGCTTACAATCGTTATGCATATCATGTGGTAATTTTAATTTGTCATTGAAATTTGCATAGCTTCTTTTGCCTGCTTATTGCTATGTGTTTTTCCTTACAAGTCCCGCAATTGGTTTGTGTTTTATATATGATTGATATATGTATGTGTCAATGCATTATTAGATACTTTAAACCCAGGTTATGCACACTAGTTGTACACAATTTCTATGACCAAAATGACCGTTTGAGGAACCACTGAAACCATGCACATTGGTTGTTTTGTGGTAATTTATAGCATAGATGTTAATTTATATTATGTTTCAGTGATTAGTTTTAGAACTTTATATATATGGGGTAATTTTCATTCAACTAGTGTCAATATCTAGATGGAATTAAGCCAATCAGTTATACTAAAAGCATGTAGATAACTTGTCATATCCCGGCCCGAGTCCACCATATCCCGGGCCCGTTTCACCATTGTAGCACGATATTGTCCGCTTTGGGCTTACCATTCTCACACGGTTTTGTTTTTGGGAACTCACGAGCAACTTCCCAGAGGGTCACCCATCCTAGGAGTGACCTGGCCTCCTTCTCGCTTAACTTCGGAGTTCCTTCAAAACCCGAAGCCAATGAGTTCCCAAAAAGCCTCGTGCTAGGTAGGGATGAGAATATACATTTAAGGATCACTCCACTAGATGATGTGGGATGTTACATAACTTCCCAATAGCACGGTTATTCATGAGCGTGGTTCGTGCAGAAAAGTATATATTTGTATATACTGATGATCAGTCGTTGGACTGGTACCCTTGCGTCAAGGCCCATATGAAGTGGCATGATTGTAGATGATATGAAAATATATCTCTACATATGCATTACTTGGCGAAAGGGCGATATGCTGTAAAGGCATGACTATTTTTGTAACCGTCATGACAATAGATATATGAATTTGAATTGCTACTGAGGCTTGCTTATATATATATATATGTACCTTTCAACTGATTTGGATGATGAGGAATTATGGTCCCATCCCAACATACTGGATCATGGTTTCCTAACAATTGTGGCTTTTGAAAAATGGTTTCTTATTGGAAATCAATGAGGTTAGGATTGGGCTTTAGTGCTTAATAACCCTATGTTGTAGTATAGTCAGTTTACGCACACATTGAAATGATATGTCGGTTAAAGCCACGTGAACACCAGGTGTAATGGATTCATACCAGTTCATGAAAGAATTCCTTTTACAGAAAGGAGATGTGCTGAATTTTCAGAGAACGGTTGGCTGATTTAATGGTTGAGGATGGTTGGGTATTGGGTTTCATTTTACCCGTTATAAGTAACACTAGCAGATATATGAGGTTTTGAACAGACGTGTATTATATATGGGTTGCTGAAACAATGCGATTCATATAAGGTAATGTCTGTTCAAATTGAACAAACGCCTCTTCCAAAGAAAGCACTCCCATTTCCATAATTAATACTAGTCTCTCCGTACGCACGTTAGTTTTTTTTTTTCATTGTAATTGTAGAGATATATTGTCACATCCCGGCCCGGGTCTACCACATCCCGAGCCCGTTCCACCACCGTAGTACGATATTGTCCGCCCTCACAGTTTTGTTTTTGAGAACTCACGAGCAACTTCACAGTGGGTCACCCATCTTGGGAGTGCTCTGGCCTCCTTCTCACTTAACTTCGGAGTTTCTACGGAACCCGAAGCCAATGAGCTCCCAAAAGGCCTCGTGCTAGGTAGGGATGAGAATATACATTTAAGGATCACTCCCCTGGACGATGTGGGATGTTACAATCCACCCCCCTTAGGGGCCCGACGTCCTCGTCGGCACACTTCCGACCAGGGATTGGCTATGATACCATTTGTCACATCTCAGGCCCGTTCCACCACTGTAGCACGATATTGTCCGCTTAGGGCTTACCATTCCCTCACGGTTTTGTTTTTGGGAACTCACGATCAACTTCCTAGTGGGTCAACCATCCTGGGAGTGCTCTGGCCTCCTTCTCGCTTAACTTCGGAGTTCCTACGGAACCCGAAGCCAGTGAGCTCCCAAAAGGCCTCATGCTATGTAGGGATGAGAATATACATTTAAGGATCACTCCCCTGTGCGATGTGGGATGTTACATATATTTTAAATGTATTGTGCAAAAAGAAACTTTTTCTTTACCATACATGTCCTAAAAAGTTGTCATATTTTTCGTTTTCACTTTGCATAAAGTAATGATTTAAATGTTATTCATGCAATTGTCAAACTTCCAATCAAATAGTATCTACGTTGTCAATTTTTGTTGCTTTACCTAAAGAGGCGCAAAATTACTCAATCTGAATGCTTTCAAATTGTCCATTTCCCCTAATTTTTCTGTTTTTGTGTCATTTCGAAATGTTTGTTGGAATAAGGGTGCACGCACCTAATGGAATCATCAACAAAGTGATTCAAACTCTTGGGAGCGTGCAATTACACTCTAGAGGCCCCATCATTCTTTGTAATTCTGCAAAGAAAGAAGAAAATAAGGGTGGTGATTGAAGTATTCACCAATTCAAAAATTCGACCTTCAGAAATTTTTGTCAATTTTCTCTCCCTTTTTGTATGATTTGTGGGTAGATAATAATTGATTAACCTATTCTTCTCTTCTTAAACGTGTGGATGGCGGTTTCTATGTCCACTCTCTGCAATGCACTTTGTTTACGATTAATCTCTATGTGTGGGTGTGCTTCATCTAACAGTTGAAAGGTTAACAAATTACCTATTGTGAAGACACAAATAACCAGTTAAGGAGACCGGAATTCCTTAATGCATGACATCCATACCTGACCATAATGCTCGTTAATCAAAGAAGAAAAAAAATCAAAATCTAGAATAAAACAGGATGTATAAACTGCAAATTACAAACTAATGTTAGTAAGACTAAAACTAACAATGAATTGAGAAACTGAAATTGTAAAGGAAAAGTAATAATAGAAAGAAATAGAAATATCGGTGTAGCATATTCTCATAGAATTTGAATCAGTATGTGAACCTGTGTAATAAAATAAAAGGGTTAATCTCTGTTTACTACCCTCATGTTTCGTGGTTTTCAACATATAGTACATCCAAGTTTTTTCGTTCCAAAGTCATACCTAAAGTGTAAATTTTGGGACAGTCTCATACATCATTTAGTCAAACCGTTAACTCTCCAGTTAACTGATGACGTGGCGCCCATTTGGACAATGACTGGGCGCCACGTGTCATTAAGGGTCCACGTGGAAATAAAAAATTCAAAAAATTTTAAAAATTAATTAATTTAAAAAAATAAAATAAAATAAAAAAACCTAAAAGCTTCCTGTATTCTACCTCCCCCATTTCTTTACTCTGCAATGCCAAACCCCCCGCGCCACACCCTCTCCCTTCCTCATCCCCCCACACCCTCTCTCTCCCTTCTCTATTTTGCAACCCACACCCTTTCCCTTCCTTCTCTCCTCCATCCACTTCTACAATCTGTCCGCCAAGTCTCCCTCCCGCCGTCGTGACCTCGATTCCCCCCTTCTTCTTAGGTAATTGTTATATGGGTTCTCTTTTCTTTCCCTAATTCTAGAAGTGGTTCTATTTGTTCTTGATCAAATATTTGAAATTCTCAACTGGGTTTGGTTTTCGATCTCTTCTTCTTCTGGGTTGGGGGGGGGGGAAGGACGAACTGGTTTGGTTTTTTTGTTTTTTTTTTCCTTCTTCTTCTTCTTCTTCTGTTTTTTTTTCCTTCTTCTTCTTCTTCTTCTGGGTTGGAGTTAGGGGGGGGGGGGAGAGGACAAACTGGGTTTTTTTTTTTTTTTCCTTCTTCTTCTTCTTTTTTTTGGGTTGGTTGGGGGGGGGGGAGGACAAACTGGGTTTGTGTTTTTTTTTTTCCTTCTTCTTCTTTTTCTGGGTTGGGGGAAGTTTTGGGTTGGTGGGGGGGAAGAGGACGAACTGGGTTTGTGTTTTTTTTTTCCTTCTTCTTCTTCTTCTTTTTTTGGGTTGGGGGAAGTTTTGGGTTTTTAGGGGGGGGGGAGGCTGAAGGACGAACTAGGTTTTTTTTTTTTTTCCTTCTTCTTCTTTTTTCTGGGTTGGGGGAAGTTTTGGGTTGGTGGGGGGGAAGAGGACGAACTGGGTTTGTGTTTTTTTTTCCTTCTTCTTCTTCTTTTTTTGGGTTGGGGGAAGTTTTGGGTTTTTTTTTGGGGGGGGGGGGAGGCTGAAGGACGAACTAGGTTTGTTTTTTTTTTTTCCTTCTTCTTCTGGGTTGGTGATGGAACTATTTTTGGGTTTTTTTTTGGGGGGAGGGGGGGGAGGACGAACTGGGTTTGTGTTTGTGTTTTTATTTTATTTTTTTTCCTCCTTCTGGGTTGGGTGCGGGACTGGGTTTTTGTTTTTTTTTTTCCTTCTTCTTGTGGGTTGGGCGTGGGACTGGGTTTTTTTTTTTTTTCTTCTTCTTCTTCTTCTTCTTCTGGGCTCTTCTTCTTCTTTTGGGTTGGGGGGGAGAAGGGAAGGGGTTTTTTCTTTTAACTTTTATTTAATTAATTTTTTAATATTTTTTAATGACACATGGCGCCCAGTCATTGTCCAAATGGGCGCCACGTCATCAGTTAACTGTAGAGTTAACGGTTTGATTAACGGATGTATAAGACTGTCCCAAAATTTACACTTTAGGTATGACTCTGGGACGAAAAAAACTTGATGTACTAAATGTTGAAAACCATGAAACATGAGGATAGTAAACAGAGATTAACCCAAAATAAAAATATAAAAAGCAATGAAAGAAACAAATATATGAATGTTAACAGTTTTTTATATACTTGCTCGGGAAACGAAAGCATGAAAGAGAGAAAACCTGAAAGAAATCAGAAATGATTGTTCAGTGATCTTTAAGCGTGCGTGCGATTAGTAGAATTAGAATGAGGCATCAAATCTAATTATTTCTGAAGAGTAGTCTGCATAAAGAAAACACTAACATAAGGAGGGTACCCAGGAAACGCACCAAATATGATTAAAAAAAACACTCAAAAAGCTAAATTGTTATAAGAAAATAACAATCGGAAAAAAAACCAAGAGAACCTTTGTTGGAGGATACAACGAACCTGTTAGGTTTTTCCAACCCATGATAAGTTGTCCTAAGTCTATAAGGAATTATAGTCTTAGAGGATTAAATTATTTTCCCAATTGGAGTTGTTTTCCCAATTGGAGTTGTTTTCCCAATTAGAGTTGTTTACCCAGTTGGAGTTAGTTTCTCAATTGGAGTAGGATTCATAGCTAGATTCCAATTAGGATTAATAATCCTTATTGAAGAAGACCTTTATTATGTCTATATAAAGGGGCTATTGTACTAGTTTTGAATTGAAGGGAGCAAAACAATAAGTTGTATACCACTTAAGGGATTAGAGTGAGAAAATATTGTAAGGGCAAAGTGTGCAAGAGAAAAGAAAAGAGATAGTGTATTTCTTGTTCTCGTTCTTTTAGGTTTTTCGTCAAATCCTAGTTCTAGAGATTTGCCAAGATTATTGGTTGTACTCATTATTGATATAGTTAAAGATTGTTGCTATCCCGTGGACGTAGGCACATATTGCCGAACCACGTAAATTCTTGGTGTTATTTATCTTGGTTATTTTTTTTTTTATTTCCGAAGTTTGTTCTTCTTTTTCCCATTCTTAAACGCAATATTCTCAACAGAACCAAAATAAAAAACGGAGTTTGTGGTAGAGGCATGGGTTTAGGGTGCCGATGGGTGAATACCGAGTGTCGATGGAGAAGCAAATCTGAAAAATGGTTGAAAATGAACACCCCAATCTCCTTTTCAGAACATGGGTTGTACATGAAGCTGACAGTTTCCATCATCAAATCATTGCAACTGTCATTTGTTTGGATAGTTGGATAGTGCTTATATCAAAAATCGGAGTGATGTTTTCATCGTCCATTTTTTTAATCTAAGGGGGCCACATTCATTGCAGAAAAAGTATATCTCACGTAAGCACCTCTCATGTGTGTTGTGTTTCATTTTACTATGTTACCCCTATTATAAACAATTACTTTTGTGTTGTCTTTTTTATTGAATGAGGACATTATGAGAATATTGAAAGCTTCACCAAACTAGGGCTTTCCCTTTATGTATATAAATATATGGTTCAATATCCAAAAGGAAATTACAAGTTCGGTTCTCATTTCAAGAAATATCCAAACCTGGTATCACGTTGTGATAAATATCTGACTATGGTTCTTGTTTAATTTCAAGAAACAAAAGGTATGGATAGTTGAAAGTAAAAGGAGGGCCAAGAGAAGTGCTTTTCATAGAAATGACTTATGAGGCTTGAAAGTCTAGAAGTAAAGATAAGATAAAGAGACAATATCTTCATTGGTAACTACTTTTTAAAGTATGAAAGTGAATTATTAATAACATTAAAGCAACCGCAATGTGTGTGAATTGTGGGGGAGTGGCTTAGCTATTTTTGAGAATGAAATATAAAAGAATGTAAAAATAACTTGCTTCTAGAAAGAGATAACAATTACTCTTATAATTGAAGTTTTAAGGTATTGAAAGGTTGGAGATCTTCTAGCAAATACCTTAAATGTGGGGGAATGTACCTGAGTATTAGCAAATTACTTTGTAAGTCCTAACATATGTTTTGAAAGACTTAACATTGGAAAATAACTACTCTCAAAGGAAATAATTTCCATACATGGATATAAAGTTTGTGATGGCCATATAATGAGTAGTCAACCTAGTGGCACCAATTTTTGAAGGTTTGACTAGAGAGTAAGTTGTATCATTGAGGGGAATGGGTTAAAAGTCTACATCTTAAGAATTGTCATAATAGCAACCTAACCTAGTTGACTAGAGATCCCAAGATCTAGGTTCAAAGGAACAACCATATTGTGGATGATTCAATGGAAGCACTGCGGAGATTACCTCCAAACACAAGATCTCTTTTGGCGTATCTTACCTACTCGTATACCTTTAGCCCTTCTCTTTGAAGGACTTGGTGCACTTGTTGTACCTAGATTCACCATTGACATTTCCATAGCCTCATTGTCCTCTTCATCAAGATCCGTCTGCATTAACCATAAACAAAAAGCGACGGTAATAACAATTATAATACGAATCAACGATTAAGCATCCATGTAACATGAGTAATAGAACAACAACTTCATTTACAGATTATAGATGTTGTTCAGCTTAAGTCTTAAGCACGTACCAAGAACAGAACAACAATAATTACAAATAAAAAAGATGTCAAATATTCAACAAACAAAAAGAAAAAGTCTCAAGTACATTCAAGATCGGAAAAACACCAAAACAGAGGAGACAAAGGAACCCAACTAAAGATATACAAACTCTTTTGGAGAATGACAAATAAATAAGTTTATCATTTCATTTGGCTATGGTTAATCCATTTTCATACAAAGGTCGGAAGAATAATGGAAATAAACCTTATATTGGTAATCTAACTAAAGACAATCAAAAGAAACTACAATACAGACTTGCTTTTTTCTGGGTGGTTATTTTTCTATTCCATCTGAAAGGGATAATGCGATTTTGACTTAATTTCATCAAGGATGTGTTATGAGTAAGTGAATTAGTTCCCGCTGAGCAGTGGGGGTACATGATTACTGGTTTCATTCTTCTTCTGGCCTTCAAAAGCTACTATTAGAACTGCTATAAGCATTCTCAAGCCAAGTTTAGGCTGGGAAATTTGAGCATGCTTTTTAGAAAATCAAAGAACTAGTTCTTAACTTCCTAAAGCAGCAAAAACAAAACCCTAGAAACCCCAAAATCTATGATCCAATCACACACAGAAAGCACAATCGTAACGAAATTATCAAACACTAATCAACTAATTCCAAACTAACTCGAAGCTGTTCTGAGCATCACCTAAAACCAAGCTCATGTAAAAACTGATAAAAAATATACCAAAAGTATAATCCGCACAAACGAAAAGTAATCGCCATGGAAGAAGACGTGGAAGGGAATCAGAGCTTACTGGAGATAGAGTGGGGGAGTTCAGTAAAACCTTGACTTTTTAGGAAGAAGATGAGGGAGAGAAGGTGAGCCACTAGGTAGAAGCAAGGTATAAAATATCGATGATATCGGAAATATCGGTAGTAAAAAAACACGGAAATTTCGATGGAAATATCGGGATATTATTGATATCAATAAAAATTGAATAAAAACCACGGAAATTGTAAGAAAAACTTGGAAATTTTCATTGAAACTTTGCAGGATGTTTATTAGTCAATTATCTATTAGTTTATCACAAAAAATTGGAAGGAAATGCATTGCATGATAGATATAACTGATTTAAGTTGATTCTATAGCGAGTTGGCAAACATTGTGAATGTAGAAAATATGTAGTAATTAATTAAAGAAGTTTAAACACACCATAATCATTTATATATAATGAATTAGTACAATATTTTACACTTTATACATTGCATGGTAAGATACATGAGTGACTTAGCAAGGTCTAAAATATCGATGATATTAGAAATATTGGTAGTCCAAAAAAATATCAATAGTCCAAAAACACGGAAATTTCAATGAAAATATCGGGATATTATGGATATTTTAGACCATGGGTAGAAGCAAAGAGAACCAGAGAGCAAACGGTGTGCAACAGTACAAGACCGAGGGACCGAGGGTTTTCACGATTACATCTGTTGAAATTACACAAAAGCCTACAATAATGGATCTTAATGAATGTTAACGGTTTCGTGGATTGATCCAAAATGACCCCTTATTTAATGAGTCATTAACAGATTCACTGTTAACAACCCGACTCGTAAATCATTCGTCCAAATACTAATTTTAACAGGTTAGATGTAAAATGTCAAATCTAGCACTCACTTTCATGACTGCTCTATAATTTTTCTTCTATATTACAAACACCACTTAAATATATTAAATAATATTGTCGATCATAATTTTTTTTTGTCAAACGATACTAGGTTTTATTAAGGAAAGTGTTGTTGGCACTTTAAAAATCTCATTCTACACTCCTCATAAGTGTATTTTTCTTTCCTCGTATAGAAAATTTGGAGTGTAGAATAAGATTTTTGGAATGCTAATAACAATTCTCTTTATTAAACTTAAATAGAAATCTTTACAACCTTGATTAAAACTTTAAACAAATATTTTGAAAACAACAAACCTCATTTATGAGATCATCTAGTTTTATCTGGAAAGGAAGCCTATAAGTGAGGAGAAATTTTTCATTGTGACGGGAACACGAGTGGTACACCACATATTTTTATGTAAGCGGTGGGATATTTTATTTTTAAGTTATTAACTTTTTAACACACATATCTCATCATTTGTATAATAACACATTATGTATCATTCTGTATACCAATCACACTGAAAAATCTCTCCTAGGTGAGCCGCTCCCTTACAAAAACGAGGAGTGTATGTGAATTCGACCGGCTTCATTTGCAAAGCTAGCTGACAAATTGTTAGACTTCTAGGCATATAATTGGAATTAATTTAATATAATAATTAAATACACAGCGACGAAATTAAATAAACAATGATTTGTAATCCTAATTACATATGCGGTTGGTTGTAAATTAATAATGTAACAAAATAAAGACAACAAAGAGATTAACTTACATGAATCTTTAGTCACACGTGTGCTACTTTGTAGGATCATCCTTGTGCTTGTTTTCTTCCTCGTCATAATGATTAAGAAAGTTTTCCAAATGTTGAGCCTCTAAAAGTATCCACACTGATACACCAAGGACGAATGATGGAGTGAAGGATTCTATTTTGTCAGCAAGATAACTTAGTTGGATTAAATCTCTTGTGCACACTAGAGAGTTTTAGCTAGGTTTTTCTCTGTTTTCTCAAAGGGAAAATCTTAGCATTTGGGACATAGAGCACCCTATAGTGGGCTCATGTTAAGCAGACTTTCTCCTTGAATCAAATCCATCACTTTAGCCCTTGAGCTTGTGACTTGGATCCCTCTTAAGTAACTAAAGCCCAAATTTATATTAATTAAAACCCAATCCAAATGGCCCAATTAATTGACAATTAATTATGTTTTATCATCATCCATATAATGCCACTAGTACTATCATAGGTGTGTGACCTAAGTTCTAACTAAGCCGACGGTAAAATTAATTAATTAAATAATTTAATTATACAAGTCATAAGTGACATCTAACAGCATGTCATGGCTACTCGAATTAGATAGAAGTATTGTAAAATAATTTAGAACCTTGATTGTAGTTACAATGCAATTCGATTCTTCTATCATCCATAACTCTCAATCAAGATTTGGAGCTTGCCTATATAATGCTTTTTTCAGTCTATACATTTTATCTTCTATATTCTTAATCTTAAAACCCTATGGTTGATCAATATAGACTTCCTTTTAAAATACTCCATTCAAGATGGCAGACTTCACATCTAGTTGAAATAAATTCCAACCATTTGTGCAGCTAGAGCAATTAGAATCTTAATTGTATTTTTTAGACACTGCATGATGGTTTTGTTCGAGGCTTCTCCATATCCATTGCCTTAAGGATATCTTGGAGTGGAAGAGGTGAGGCGACGGATCCCGAGTTCTTTGTACCAGTCCATACTTCGAAGCTGGTAAATTGTAGCCTGTTGTCAATTAGTATGGTGTAGGGAATTTCGAATCAACAAATGATGTTCTTTCCAATGAAATACTTGATGATTGCGGCTGTGATTTTTGTTAGTGGCTCCACTTCTATCCATTTTGAAAAGTAGTTTATTGCCATGAACAGGTACTACCTGTTTCCTTAATCATTCTTAAGGGGTCTTACTAAATCGATGCCCCATTACATGATAGGCCATGAACCTGTCAGAGTATTGAGTTCTTCCGCATGTTCATGGTTCATAGGAGCGTACCTTTGACATTTGTCACAAGTTTAGGCGCAGCTAATTGCATCTTGTCGGATGGTGGGCCAAGTCATTGCTTTTTGAGCTAACGACCTTCTTCCAACATGATAACCACATACCCTATAATAGATGTCATTCATAATTTACAGGTCGATCTCTGGTATGACGCACAAAGTATGGGGTCCAGAGTAGGAACATGGATAGAGCTTCCCACAGATGACTGTATGTTTTGACGTCTTCTGGATTAATTTTCTGGCCAAATTGTTGACTCCTAGTAATCTTTCGTCCCATATATAGTCAATGATTTCATCCATCCAATTTTCTCAAGCATCGATGACGGCTACTACCTTGGGCTCCATCTGATGGATACTGTGGGCTTCTAGATATTTGAAAGGGATCACTCATTAGAGGGAGTAACCTGCGTTTCAAGCCATCCCGGCAAATGCGTCAGTGTGGCTGTTCTCTCATCAGGAAATTTGTGTGATTTCATATTTCTTGAACTTTTCAAGTAGCACTTTAACTCTGCTCAGGTAGAGTCCTATGATGGGATGGTGGGCAGCATGATCCCATGTGACTTGGTTAACTATAAGCATCAAGTCACAATGGATTAGTAGTTTTTTTACCTAGAGTTCTTCTGCGACTCTGAGCCCCGCCAAGAGGGTTTTGTACTTTGTTTCGTTGTTGCTTACCCCGTCAAAAGGGCCTCATACTCTACTTCGTTGTTGCTTTCTTTGAACCCATGTTTTAGAGCCTGTTTGGAGTATGGATCTGTCCAGTGTTTGAAGCACCATCCTTGCGCCGACCCTATGTATGTTGGACTATCCATCTATGTAGAGTTTCCAAAGGAATGGGTTTACCTAGGCACCTTGGGAATTGGCTGTGTCTGTGGTACCTTGAACCACTGGTGTGAATTCGGCTACAAAGTTTGACATTACTTGAGCCTTGATTGAGGTCTTGGGTTGATACATTATCTTATGTTGTCCTAGTTGGATGGCCTATTTGGTAACTCTGGACGAGGTGTTAGAGTTGTGCAAAATGTATCTCAATGGATACTCGGTCATGTAGATTACTCTAAATGACTAAAAATATTGTTGAAGTTTTATAGCTGCCATTACTAGTACCATGATGAGTTTTTCCATTTTCTGATTCCTCGTCTTTGGTTCGAGAAGAGCTTTTGATATGTAGTATACTGGTTTATGCTCCCTTGAGTTTTCTTGAATTAGAGATGCGCTTACCACTCAGTCGGATACAGCCAAGTATAAGTATAGGTCATCTTCGTCGATCAACTTGGATAACAGTAGGGGTTTGAAAAGGTACTCCTTGAGTTTAGTGAAGGTTTCTTCGCATTCATCCGTCTAGAGAAGACCTTTGCTCTTCTTTATTATCGTGATGAACAATTTACATTTGTTGGTGGCTCGTGAGAGAAATCTGCTGAGAACAGCTGCTCGTCCTATCAAACTTTATATTTCTTTCATAGTTTTGGGCAATCTTGTTTCTATTATGGCTTTGATCTGATCCGGGTTAGCTTCAATTCTTCCCTTGGTAACCATATAACCTAAGACGTTGCCTGACGCTACTCCGAATGTGCATTTTTCTGGATTCAGCTTCATGTTGTATTTTCGAAGTAAATCAAATGACTCTTGAAAGTGTGTTATATGAACCTTCTTTTATTTGCTCTCAACGACCATGTCGTCCATGTAGACCTATATTATGTCACTGATTTTTTCCTTGAAGATTCGATTAATGAGTCATTGGTACATTGCCCCTGCGTTTTGTAGTCTGAAAGGCATGACTTTGTAGCAGTATGTTCCTCAGCCCAGGACAAATGAGGTTGTTTCCCTGTTTAGTTCATACATCTTTATCTAGTTGTATCCAGAGTAAGCTTCTATGAAGCTCAATAATTCGTGCCCTATGTTTGAATCCACTAATAGGTCGATCTATGGGAGTACATATGGGTCTTTTGGACAAGCTTTATTCAAATCCATAAATTCACACATACTCTCCACTTCTCATTTTTCCTCTGCACCAGCACAATGTTATGGGGAGTCGGGCAATCCATCACATGAAAAGTCATGAAGTGGTTATAGAGTTCTGCCTGGATAGCTAGCTTCATCATTCCCAAGGATCGTACCAATTCCTCGTTGAAAGGGTGAAGTACTATCTTCCCTTTATTAATGTTGTCGAGAATTACCAACGTTTCAACAGTGTCTTTGAACATGATGCGGACTCCTAAGCCATTATCGACCAAGACGTGGCTTACCAGAGTGTTGGAGATTTGGATCTTGACGACGATATGATTAACTCAGTTTTCTGATAGGTACTGCTCTGATAAGGTGCGAAGCCGATATGATTAATTAAGTTTTCTGACATGTTGGTTGGTAGAGTGATCTGGCCTAGAGGAATATAAGTTCTTTCACAATGAAAGCACCAATTGTTAAAACCAAATTTGCGCACCACTGTGAACAGTGGTCGAGCACAAATCTGAGTAAATCAAAGTAACCTGCAAAACAGTGAACACAACCATGAGCAAGCCTAGGACTCAGGGAGGGGGGGTGTGTCAGCTAAAGGCTTTCCAATGGTCAAGCTACTAAATGAATTTATACTCAAGCAGTAGGCAAGATAATTCAAGTGTTTAGATTGCGTTACCATAGATGAACCCTAAAAGGTATATTTATACCGTGGAGAGATATACCTTTTTAGGATAGAATTCTTGTTCTAAGCTGGGAGAATCCTAGAGCATATCTAGGAGTAGATATTTCATCCTCTTAGGAGTTGTGATTACTTGCCGCGCACGCCATTCCTTAGGTTGAAGAAACTCCATGACTTATAGGATCTGATTTAATCCATATCTGGATTAGATCACGTGTCTTGCGGAACCAGCATAGTCATTAAGACTTCACCTAGTGCCCCAAAGTAGAATGATGGTGGCACTGCTACTCAGTTTGATACAGCTCCACTCGGAGCTAGTGAGTACATGACTGGACTTCTAAGGTAACTGTATTCAGAACAGTCTTACTCCTGGCTGGAAAATTATGGTTCCACAAATAGGCTAAAAAAGAAACTCCTCCACCACTCGATTTGAAGCTCGTCTCCTTATGTTAGAGAAATGACGAAAGGTAAAAGTATATTATTTCTCAATTGTAATGTATATTGATTTTTATTAGGATTATTTGATTATTTCTTTAACATTTTATTTTCAGGAGGATTCTAAGTTTCCGAATATTGACATGTTCAAGGAAGTTTATGTTCGACCCGGGGATGAAACAGCTGAGCAGCTCCATGTAAGTTTATCTAACAATTACTTTTCTTTCATTTGTAAACATTAAAAATATTAATATGTAATTGCTCTTCTCCAAAACTCATAGTTATCCATTTAATATTTGAGCTTTGAGATGGCTAATGCTCGATTTAGACATTTCAGCACTTGAAAATTGATTTCTAGGGTTTCATAGATTTTTAAATCTCCCTAGAAATAGCTCACAACTCCCAGTATAAAACATCATACGCCGTTAGCTAAACGTTGCAACTCTTATACCATTTCCAACCCTTGGGTTAAAACTTAAAACCTAGGTTTTAAATTAACCCAATTGTTCTCCAATGATTAGGCCAAAAATAAGTTTTGGGTTAAAACCTTTTGTACAAATTTAATTTTTGGTTTAAAACCTTTTGGACAAATTTAACTCAAAATTCCGGTTATGGTTAAAAAAGGCCCACTTATGTGCACAAACGTGCCTAGAAAAGTGGAGGCCCCAACAAGGCGACACGCCCAACGCGCGAGACACAGGAGGGCTGATAGGAAGTAGGTCTACCCTTGACGAGAATGTTGACCACCTAAAATGAGCTCAACATCTATTCCTTGATCTGATAGTTTTAATTATTCATCCGTCCAACGGTCTAGATTCAAACCTATTTAATTTTTAAACACATTAAATCCTACGGCTGAGGTCGAATATGATCAAATCCAACAAAAAAAAAAGAAGATATAATGCCCAAAATTAACTTTGACGGTCCAAAATTAACTCCAATGGCTAAAACAATAAAAAAATTATTTAAATCAAAATTAACCCAACAACTCAAGTACATGTTTCATGTCGGTTTAGTGAATTTTCAACTTTTATCGAATTCTAAATATTTTCATGTTAAAATATTTATAAAAATAAATTATGATAATCTACATAAATTTTATTTTAAAAAAGATTACCGAATTTTTTTTTTTGACTAAATTTATTATTTAATAATTTCAAGCTAAAATGTTAACCCAAAACTATTAGAAGAAAAAAAAAAACTGCTTCTAGATGAAAGCCTAAAAAAATACATCATCAACATTTGGCTAGAAGACGAAGGTCTCACCTCCAGCTATACTAGCCTTATCCTAGCCTTACAAAACCAGAATTGAGCTCAGCCTTACAACTGTCATATTTGGACTGAGTGCACAAACTAGCCGTTACATTCTTAATTAAGAAAGTGATGAAGCTGAGAAACAATTTTGGTGCAAACAAGACCTTTCCACATTGCATGGTTTGGGCCTTGCCGAATTGGCCCAAACTAATCATGTTGCCGATGTCTTAGCCCGCCCTTTTTAACAGTCCAATTTGGGCTTGTTATTAATTGGAAGGAATTTTAACGAAAAGCCCGAGTATTGTTTACTTTAACAAAAATACATTTTTACATTAAAAAGTCAAACCTGGAACTATTCAATTTACCTTTTATTTTGTCCTTATCGTTAAAACTCAAAGTTTTCAATCTCTTTTCATTAATTTTCTTAAATTAAGGGTCTCCGGCGCTGGTAAATTTATGTCTTATGGGCCTCCAATTAATAACAAGGAAAACTAATGAAAAATGCTTAAAAATTTTGAGTTTTAACGATAAAGAATAAATTAAATAGTACAAATTTAATTTTTTTAATGTAAAAATATGATTTTTCGTTAAAACTTCGTATTGATTTTCCAGTTTCTAAAAGGGAAATTTGGAAATATAGCCCTTTTGAGAAACACTTAATGAAATATGGCCAATCTTTTTTAATTGTTATAAAATTAAACAAAATTGATGTTAAAAAGACTTAATTACCCTTAAATTAAAACTCTCTCTTCTTCTATTCCTCTGACGTCTAGAGTTCACCTCCTATCCTTACGACCAAAAACGCGAGTCTTTGCACCAGCAAGTTGAAGAAAGAGAATCGTTTCTTCTCAGCCGAAGAATCTCCTAAATTCAATCCAATACAACAAATTCTCATTTCCTTGTCCTGATACTCGTATATCCCACCAATTTCCCCCAGAAAATTCCCAATTATTTTCCCAGAAAATTCACAACTTTCCCGAGAAAATCAGGCCCAGGTTCCCAAATCCGAAAATGATGACAATCAAAGACCCAAGTCTCGCAATTGACTAATCGGGTAGCGCCATTTACTTCTCCAATATCCCTGAGGATGTCCAGCTCTGCATCATCTCCTTCCTCACGCCTTCTGAGATCGCCAGCTTGGCCTGCACATCAGAGCGGTTTGTTTCGCGCTGCAAATCCAACGACAAGCTCTGGTTCAACATGTGCGATCGTAGGTGGGATTGCAAATCAGACGGCAATTAAGGAGATATTGGAGAAAGATCTAGGATTGGATGCGATCATACAAGTTACTAAAGTATTGTTTCCTCTTTTAGAACAGAAGATTGGCAACTATAGTTACATACGAAAAGTATATCTTTTCTAAACATGTGTTGGTTTTTCGAGTCGCCTGGCTCATAGACTTGCAGTTTTTGGTCATATGGATAGAATCGATACCACATAAGCTATTCTACAGAGATGTATTCTTTGCTGCAATTTATTTTTTCAGAACGATCTTTTACGAAGTTTTACCATATGGAGTGATAGATATAAAGATGACCAAATGACTGATAAAATTAAAGATGGCTGAATGAAACCATGGAAGCGGTGGAATGCAGGTTCCGCTGTACAAGTAAAAGGCTGAACGTTTAAGTAATTCAATATGCAACTTAAGGGTAATTAACTCCTTTTAACTGCAATTTTGGTTAGTTTTATAATAATTGAGAAAGATAGGTTATATTTCTTTAATTGGTTCTCAAAATGGTTGCATTTCCAAATATCCCTTTCTAAAACCCTTCCACTCTTCACTCTTTTGCGCAGCAAGAAGAGCGAAGGTAAAAAACCCCGACTCCTCCTAAAACCCCAAAATCACTAGCATGGTGGGCCCCATATTCCTCCGCCGACTCCTCCTCCTCCTCCGTCCACCACCGTCCTCCGCCGAGTTCGGCAGCGCGAGAATATGCTTCTCAGCCTTCTACAACTGCCGATCTTACGCCGCCACCTCTGAAACAATTGACGAAGAGAAAGAAAAGGGCGGTAAAAAATGGTTCACTTTACCTCCGTTCACTGCCGCCGTAAACGGCGCCGCTGTGGGTAAAGAGCTCTCTCGTAATCGTTCAAACGGCGGCAGAGGTACAATCCCAAATACTGCCTCTGCCGCCGCCGCCTACACCACCACCACGACGGCGCTTAAATGGGTTACTCGGTGCTGCCCGGAGCTTCCTAGAAGCCTCGTTCAGAAGCTCTTTCGCCTTAGACAGGTCGCCACACTCGCACCCACATTGAATTATTTTGAAATTTGAAGTTTGATTGCAAATTGCAAATGGGATTTCAAGGATGATTGAAAAGTTGTTGCTTGATTGCTGTTACAGGTTCGAAGAGAATCATGTTCTGGTCAAGCTGTTGAAGCAAATGAGCGCCCAATTAAAAGGGTAACTGATATTTCTCTTACATTCATACTTTTTCGGGTTTTTATGTATGTTTTCGTTTGGAAATTAAATTGATAGAGCTTTGTTTTGTGTAATTTAACATGGGAAAGGTTTCTATCTGATTTTAATTTATGGGAAGGTGGCGGCTAAAGATTCCATGAACATAGGAGATCGAATACATCTTCCTTTTAGTGTGCAAGAGTTCCCTGCTGACAAGCACGAGTCGTCCAATTATAAACAAGAATGTCATTGTAGTGAAGAAGAAATCAACTTTATCCGGAGCCTGGAGTTGTATAAGGTTCTTAACGTTGGTCCCTGTTGTGTAAATTTCAGCCAGCTATGTTTTTTTACAATATATGATCCAACTTACTCGTTATTCTGATCTTAGGATCCAGCCATCATTGTCATCAATAAACCCCCTGGAATGCCTGTTCAGGTGAGTTGTTGATGCTTCAGTCAAGGTTACTGTTGGTACTTTAGGTTTGTAGGTAGTTTATTTCATACCGATATTAAAATGATGTCTGCACAGGGTGGGATTGGAATCAAACGAAGTTTAGATAAACTGGCTACCGCTTGTTTGAGTTATGACTTGTCAGAACCCCCTCGGCTGGTGAGTTTGTAGGCAATCTTAGTATCTTTATGTTAAATTCATATATGTAGCTGTATGGTAAGCAAAATATTGTCAGACTTCTAAACTTTGGAATGGGAGCCTTTCATATAATAGGAAAAATCTAGAGTGAGTATGGAGTGGAAGGAGGAGAGGGAGATTGATTGCATGGAATCAAGCCACAATTTAGAGCCATCTCATTGACTAGCAGTCTAGCAGCTTGTTCACGCATTTCCTGTTAAACAAGGCGGAACTAGTTGCGAGCTATATTGCTTCATAAGCCTGAGTGAATGCATGAATTGCTTAACGGAGAAGATACCAAATGTTTTAGACGTTCTGGTATTATGAATCTATGCTTGATAAAAATGTGATATATTCTATGTAATATTCTGAGTTTAAATTTTTATCAATACATTGTAGAAATGAAAAGAATAAACAGTTTGATAAATATGTGTGGATTAGAATTATCCTTGTTTTAGAATTTCAATCATTGCATCAAATGTGTACGTGCATGGTCTCGTCTATTGCCACAACAATCTGAATCCTATGCATGGTTATCCCCGTTCCTTGAACAATCTCTGTGTGTTGTTTGTTTGTCTTTTTCCTTCCCTTTTTCTGGATAAGAAGTTTGTATTTCTTAGGTACATAGACTTGACCGAGATAGTAGTGGTCTCCTGGTGATGGGAAGGACACAAACAATTGCGGCTGTTCTGCATTCCATCTTCCGTGAGAAAACTGTTGGAGCATCAAATGATGTGAGTGAATGTTATTCCTTTCTCTGTTGGTGCTTGTTTATGGAATGACCCGTGCATGCTCATGTCATGTTGCGAAGCTGTTAGTTTTGTTCCGTGTCAATTTACCTGATGCTTGTACTTATTTAAAGGTAACTGACGATGCAAAAAGAATTCTGCAAAGAAGGTATTGGGCGCTTGTCATTGGATCTCCCAGGCAACGTAAAGGATTAATCTCAGCACCTCTGGTAAAGGTTAGAATATTCTTGAATGCACTCATCCTCACACCCCATCCATGTGCACCTAGAGATTACCCTTTACAAAATAATAAAATTCAGTTATAATTTAGTTACCAATTTAATTGTTATGTGGTTAAGTGGTTCCTGGTTGCAGTAACTCAGGGATACAATGAACAAATATCAGTGCATAAACTTTACAAGTTATCTGAACTTATAATAATTTGGGGCTTTGATTGCATCAGGTGGTGGTGGACAATGGTAAATCGGAGAGAATCACGGCTGCGAATGATTCACAAACTTTGTCATCTCAGCATGCCATTACAAAATACAAAGTGATTGGATCATCATGTCCTGGTAAGTAACAAACACTCTTTTTCCATTGCACATAAGTATTGTGTCAAAGTACAATTTAAAGGACTGTCTAGGAAGGTTTGGTCGTGTGATGCATGCTGCAGTTTTGTTTTCAACGATCATTAGTGAAGATAGTTTGGCACAAAGTTCTTGGTACATATTCTTTAAAGAATAATATTCCCGGTAATTATATGCTTCTGATATTCCACTGTTAGCTGTGCAGGTTTCACATGGCTAGAGCTAACCCCTCTTACTGGCCGAAAGCATCAGGTATCGATCAGAACTAAGCACTAGTCATGATTTCTGTTTGCATTATTCCTTAGTTAAACAAGCCGCTTGTCACTGTGCACAACTCCTCTAACTGTATGCTTTGAACTACAGCTGCGTGTACACTGTGCGGAGGTTTTGAGAACACCAATAGTTGGAGACTACAAATACGGGTGGCAAACTCATAGGAACTGGAAACCTTTATCTTCGTCTAATACTGAATCTCATTGGAATGAGGAGCTTCACCCAAGAAGAAACCTCCCTTTTGATCTGAATATGGACGGTGGAAGTATCTCCGAAAAGACACCCCGCTTGCATCTTCATTGTAAGCAAATGGTTTTGCCTAATGTGCATCTGGCTTTGCAAAACGTGAAGCTGCATTCAGATTGTGATCTTTCTGAACTAGAAAGCCTAGAGTTGGTTGCTCCTCTACCTTCATACATGCAAAGAAGTTGGGATATTACAAATTATTAAGCTACAACGAGAATTTTCGAAGCTTTCTTATTTATTTAATTATATTATTATTGTTTGATTCAAGTTCTTGCAAGTTTTTAAGGAACGAGTTTACCAGGAAAATGAAGAGCCAAAGAACTCATAATTATCTTGGGTTGAGTAGCAAACAATGTTGCCTTCTTTAAAACGTTTTACGGCTTTGCCCAAGATGTGCAAGCAGTCACAATTGCCACACCATCCCCATGATAAAACAGTCTAGAATCACCAATGAATAGATCTTCCTTTGCACTGAGAATATCCAAGCTTTCACCCACCCAACTACTCAATGTTCTCGTAGTATTTCTCAGTTTTTTCAAGTGTATTTCCACCAGACTAAAACCCTAGTATTTATACACTACTTTGAGGGATATTAACGTTGGGATGGTTGAGGGGAAAATGCTCACAAAATCCGGCCACTAAATCAAGAAGCAATATCAGTTAGTTGAGAAAGAATAGGTCTTCTAAACAAAACAAAACTTTCTGTTGAAGGAAAAAGATTCTCCTCAAAATTAAGAGTCTAACATTAACCTATCTGACTAATCGAAATTTTAAATAAACATATAACCCCAACAATCCCCTACTTGGTTATTTAAACTTGAACATTGAGTAAATTGTCAAAAAAAAAAAAAAAAAAAAAAAAAAAAAAACTGTCATAGAGTCTTGTATAAATGATGGTGTTATTTAACTTGAACCAAAACATAGTGACATTGCTTTAGAATAACAAGAGTAGCACTTGGTTTTGAACTCAATCTCTGACAACAAAGCACACACGACTCCTCTTGGGTGAAGCTCGAAGCCGGCACAATTCGGCCATGTGCTTGTATCCCAGTTTAGTGATAGTGCTAGAAGTTAACCCTAGGAACTTTAAAATAGGCGGCCTTAGCTTCATTATCACAAGGGTAAAACAATCAAGGATACTCCTATAGCTAGATATCCTACTCAACTAGAGTATAGTTTTCATTAAAAGTTTCATAACTCATCCTTTACACGTGTTACAGCATTTCATGCCTCTACAGACAACTTCTACAAGAAGTATGGCATGAGTCCATATCACTTCATGACTTGTTATTATCTATTGAAACAATTTCTTGGGATCTCTAGTCCAAAGGTTAGGTTACCATTACAAGTGACTCAACTTATCAAGGGCTTTAACCCCATTCCACTAGAGGTTTTCCAAACTTTTTCTCATGCTAACCATTTCGTCAAAGGGTCAGCTAGATTATCTTCAGACCTTACATAATCTATTATGATAGTCCTTGTGGAAAGAAACCCTCTTATCGTGCTATATTTTTGACGAAACTGTCGTGTCTTTCCTTATAATATAAATTTTCCACTTTTGCAATGGCTGTTGTGTTATAATAAGCATAGCAGAACTGGTTTCTCCCACAATGGAATGTCAGACAAAAGATCTCTCAATTACCCTGCTTTTTCCCTAGCTGTTGCTAGGGCAATCATTTCATATTCCATTGTTAATTGAGCAAGTAGGATCTGTTTCTTAGATTTCCATGAGATTGCAGCCCCAGCTATATTAAAAATATAGCCACTCATGGCTTTAGAATCTTCCGATAATGTATTCCAATCAGCATCGTTGTATCCTTCAAGAACAGCGGGAAACATTTCATAACATAGGGTAAAGTTGATGGTCCTTTTAAGATATCTCATTACCCTTTCAACTGCATACCAATGCTCCATATTGGGACTGCTCGTGTACCTACATAGAACCCCAACTGCATAGGCTTTGTCTAGCCTAGTGGAATCAGTAGCATATCAAAGGCTACTAATGATGCTCGCATACTCAGTTTGTCTAACACTATCCAGTGTTCATGAACAACTTCACACTATGATCAGACGGTGTACAAGCAGGCTTACCATCAAAATAATTGAACTTCTTTAGAATTTTCTGTAAATAGTGTGACTGACTTAAAGAAAACCCCTTCTCAGTTTTGTTAATCTTTATTCCAAGAATTAAATTTGCCTCTCCTAAATCCTTCATATCAAAGTTATTGCATAACATGGTGTTAACTTCATTTACTAAATGAATATTAGAGCAATAAATAAGCATGTCATCGACATATAAACATATTACAACCTATAGATTACTCTCAGTTTTAATATACATGCACTTATCACTTTCATTAATTTTGAAGCCATTATCAAGAAGTAAACAATCAAATTTAGCATGCCATTGTTTAGGTGCTTGTTTTAATCCATAAAGTGACTTATTTAATTTGCAAACTTTATGCTCTTGCCCAAGTATTACAAAACCATCAAGTTGATCTATATAAATTTCTTCCTCTAATTCTCCATTTAAAAAAACAGTTTTAACGTCCATTTGATGCACAACAAGATTATGTAAAGAAGCTAATGCAAACATGACTCGAATGGATGTAATTCTAGAGACTGGTGAGAAAGTGTAAGAGAAATCGACATTCTCTCTTTGCCTAAAACTTTAGCTACTAACTTGGCTTTAAACTTGTCAATTGTACCATCGGATTTTAGCTTGTTCCTTAGTACCCATTTGCAGCCAATGGTTTTGCATCTTGGAGGTAGGTAGCTCAACCAAGTGAATTCATATCATCGTTTATGGCTTCTTGCCATGAATCTACATCCAAAGAAGTCAATGCCTCTTGGAGTGTTGTAGGATCTTCTTCCAGTGCATAAGTTTAGAAGTCACCCCCAAAATCCTTGGTCACTTTGGTTCTCTTACTCTTTCTTGGTTCGAAACTAGTTTCAACCGAATTATTTAGAGCATGGCTGCTCGTTCCATCCTTCCTTAAATTAGTTGAGGTTAAACCCCCACTATTCCTTGACATAATAGGAAACTTGTTCTCAAAGAAATCAAAATCATTAGAGTCACTAACAACATGGTTCTTTATTGAGATATCAAGAATTAGTCCAAAACTACTCATTTGATTTACTAACTTCTTATTTATGTAACATAACCTAGCTTGCCAAATATTGAAAGAAGATAACATGTAAGCTAGGGATGGTAACAGTTCGGTTTGGGGACGAAAATGTTAATCCATCCCCATAACCATGAAATTTAACTATATCCATAACCGTGAATTAACCATCGGGGATTATCTATAACCATACCCAATAGTTAACAGATTTCTCATCGGTTAACGGTTATATCCATCTTCGTCAAGAATAAAAATATATTTGTTCAATTGATGCATTATAATACAATACATACTAAGTTCATCATTATAATATAATATATACATTGGTCATGTTGGCTTATGTTTGATCTCTCCCATAAGCACCATTGAATTCTTATTGGTTTTTATTCAAAACTTTGGAACTTTCTCACAAAATGCAACTTTTGTAATTCTCAAGGTAATGAGTTCGGTGAATATATATATATATATATATATATATATATATATATATATATATATATATATATATATATAATACATATCATTTGGGTCGGTTTTGGGGACGGACATGGATCAGGGACCCCTATAACCATATCCAAAACCATAACCGGATAATATTTTTGGTTTTTGCCCATATCCACAATATATCCGAATTTTCATCCTAAATTCGTTTCATTCAGATGGTTATCCATGGTTTTCGGGTTTAACTGTTTGAATTGTTATCCCTAATGTAAGTAGAAATAACATTTTTATTCATAACATCAACATTGAGTTTAAACATTCCATCAATGGCATACCCCATTCCCACAAAGACACCGTTCTTTGTGAGAGTATTGGTAGGATTAAAAGCACACCACAAAGTAGCCCACAAATATCCTATTAATTTTCCTTATTAACACTAAAATTTGTCGATTGTAGCATATGAAAATAAGAGCCTTTCCCGCAGAAGATTGTTTTATCCAAATACTTAAAATGTCACAAAAACAGGGTGGCTGTCTCCACTGACCAGCCACCGAACAATAATTATGAGACTAACTTACACTTATCCAAATGCAACGAAATTTTATACACATAAACTAGACACACCAAGCTATGCTCACACAAATGTTTGGGATTTTTGGAGTTGATTAGCTATTTAAATTAAATCGGACAAAACAGGACCTCAACAAGTTTTAAATAATACCAATAGATTTTAATTCACAAGTTAAGAAAACGAGTTAGGGGAAATGCTATCCACCACCAAATAATCATGCAAGCATGTTATGTTTCATTCAAATCCCTTTTATTTCCGGATGAAGATGCTCAAGTTGGCTCACTGTTAGAACTCAACCTATTACTCTTTCTTACGTAGTATGTTAAGAGAATGGCATTTTCAACTTAACTTAGTCCCTAACATGCAATCTAGAATGGCGTGTTCATAGATTTAACAAGTAGAAATCATTAAGAATAAAAAGAGTTTGAGTCATCACAAGGCATCGTAAGTACTGGCGTTGTCTTACTTATCCTAGAAATCGGTTCACATGTTAACCACAATTAACAAGTGCTACTCTAGAACATATGTAGGTCCTCATTCAACAAGGGCAGGTAAACATATATTCATAGCATTAAAATCCTAGATATGCTCACTATGTATGCATCCATAGAAACACATAAAGAATTTATCAATGACATAAGTAGTGAAACAATTTTCATCCTTTCATAAAAGTCATTCAAACAAAATATCACAACAAACTTACAATCATATTCGGGGCTTCAAAACAGCCCCTCACTACTTAAAATTTAGTTACACATAATTCTCAAACTAAACCAAAAGTAAAACATGGGTTTGAGAAGATAAAACCAAGAAAAATAGAGTGAAGCCTTTTCTTCTCTCCTTCTGCCCTCTGCTTCTTCTGCCTTCTTATTTTCTGCCTTCTGTTTTCTTCCGTGTCCCTCTCTCTTTTCTGTTTTTATTCTTTCTGCAGTCCACGTCTTTCTCCCCATTCTTCTCTGTCTCCCCGTTCCTTTTATATTCTTTTTGCTTTTCCCGTCAGTCCCGCACTCCTCTCTCTTTCTTTGCAGTTTATTTTCTTTTCTTTCTCTCTGCGCCTTTACTTTCTCTGCGCACTTGGCCTTTCTTTATGTTTCTGTTTATTCTTTCACTGCTTTTTCCTTCAGTGTCTC